TGTATTGTACGATAAAATTTTTGTTATTAAAAAAAAAAAAAACAAAAAAAAAATGGATGAATTCTCAGAAACTTTAATTCCAAATATTCCTTTTTTCGAAGGTGGCCAGCAACAAGATTCGAAAGTAGGGGGTTGCTCATCAATGATCACCAAACTCACTGTCGCTTCATACTGTGTCCCGCCGGAAAAAACTCACATATCGAGTCAAACTGCATCGAAAACGTAAGGTTTCTTTTTTTTTAATATAACGATAAATATAACGATAATTGATCACAAAGCGAAAAAATTCTATGGAAAAAGAAATTTAAAAAATAAAAATTATCCACGATGAATTTTTTTGTTTCATATTGTTTTTCTTTTTTTAATTCACTGATATAAAATCAAAATCATTTAATTTATACTTAGATTATTTTTTTGACTAAACTTTTGATATTGGTAGAAAAGAAGAGCAAGAAAAAATTCAAAATTAACTAAGAAATTAATTATTCCTTTTTAGTGAAAAATTTTTTTTTGAAAACTTCCAATAGAGTTTCAATTTTTCATAACTTATAAATATTAATAATTACCGTGCATCTTTCACGATAAAATGTGAAATATCATGTTAAAATCATTTCAAATTTTACAGATCAAAAGTATATCATATTTAAAAATCAAAATCAATTATTATCGAAAGATAAAAAGATGTATCAACAAATTTCGCGAATAATAATTTTCGAATGAATTCGTGTCAACACCCCTTGCGAATTATCATTCGTGTAATCGTAGAAAGAACAACGAAGAGAGATCGAAGAAGCTGATCATGTTGAACAGAAATAACAATAAGAGAATAAAAATAAAAGGAACGAGGACTTCCCCGTCGAGCAAGAACTCCCAACAAAGCTCTCGTTCTCAGATAATCGAAAATGGAAATAAGGTGATAGAGATAGGATCCGGAAATTCGATATCTATCGTAGTGACACCGGGCAACGATTCGAGATCAATGGAGACCATCCATAGGATAGTGAACATAGGATGTAAGAACAATTCCCATCCATCCTCCCAACCCAATCAAATGGAGATTGTGGAACAGTTGCACGAGATGGAAGATGGGAATAAGAGGGGAACGTTGCAATTTACCGCCGAGACGACGCCGAATAAAAGAGCACCGATCGAGAAACAAATACAGATCACGAGCCAGTGTCAAGGTACGTGCGACACGATGCATTTGGAACTGGCCACGATTAATTCAGAAACGGGAACGGCAAAGAATCCGAGAAACCAGGAGAAGAATCCTGCAATGAGACAGTCGCGGACAGTCAGAAAAGAAAAACTAGAGAAATTGCAGCAAACTGAATTGATAAATAGACGTGAGAACGAAGCGCAGACCGTGTAAGAGATGTTTCTTTTTTTTTTTTTTTTTAAGCTTCCTTTCCTTTCCTTTCGTTTCGACACATTCAACGCGTCAGGTGGCGTGTTGCGAATTTTTTCTCGCGTTCGATATGCAATATTGGTCGTATTTTTTCGTGAAATTAGAATTGAAAAAATCGAAATTGTTGATATTCGTCACCTGGGGTTCTTTTTGAATGTGTTTGATTATCGATTTAACTTGTAACTCGATCGCATCGTGATGAAATATTTCCAATTTTAATATATATCAAGGATGCAATGAATCTTTTTCTTTCGAATCTTTTTTTTTTTTTTTTTTAGAGATGATTTCGAAACATTACCGAGAGGTAAAAGAACTTACGCGAAAGCTCTCCGAAAAAACAAAGTTAAACCCGCCGATGCATCGTAAGAGAATGATTTTATTAATTCACTTTTGAAAATAGATATAATCTTTGTTTATACAATATTAATAATCTTGTTTCGCGTTTAATATTTTCAGAGTTAGCGATATAAGTATCACGCTTGTGCCAGCGTCTAATCCCCCCTCGACACCTTCCATCCGTAAAAACAAAGTAATATTATATATCCTAAGCGAACGAATGAATCAAAAATATTGTTGCAAAAATAATTATTATAACTCAAATAACGCAAAATAGTTTAACACGAATCAAACGAAATTTGATTTGTACAGAAACTCGGTCTACAGAACAGCGTTTCGTTGCACGAGAAATACATTAATGTTTGCCCAATTTGTAAAAGGCTGCAGGTTAATTCTCACACTTTATGACATTTTGCTTCAATTTGTATATATATGGATGTATATCATTTTATCATATTATATGATTTCAAAAAATTCAACAGATACCCATGAAGGGGCCCCCCTTTCAGTATTACTCCGTTAATAAGGATAAACGAGGACGATTCTATTGCGACACTTGTGCACCTCCAGCTTCGATTAAGGTTAAAATATTCTAATTCAAATATATATATTACAACAACAAAATTTTGTAATCTTAATTTTACTTTATTGTATCGTTTTGCGTTACAAAATTTTTCAAATATTTTATATTTTTATAGATATCGTTCAAAAGGACGGATCAACAACGTTTAAAATGCTGTCAGTGCGGGAATTATTTACGTATAAAGAACAGTCAGGTAAGAAAATGAATGAATTTTGTCGCGTATAAATATTTATTTTAATTATTAACGATATATTCCGATTTTCAGACAACTCGAAACAAATCTGATCATTGTCCACATTGTGATTTATCATTATCACGGCATCATATTTCATCGACATAAATTTTTCGATAAACTCGACGAGATATCATTATATCATCACACTTAGATAATTAAGAAAGAACAATCCATGTGTACATATAAACGAGAATTTTATATATAAATGATGATGCGAAAATATAACAAACAGTGTAGTAACAAGTAAGTTGATCTTCGAAAAATCTGTATACTTAATTGTGATTTTCTTTTAATATAATTTTCATTATTCGTAGATCGGCGCAAAATGCTCAATCACACAACAAAAAAATGCATCTTACACAGAACAAATTATTAATCGTGTAAAGTAATTTTTAATATTCCAAAACATTATTTATTTCTTTAAAAAAAAAAAATAATAATAATAATAATAAGAGATCGTTGATTACACGAAATAATTTTTTTTAACAATGTTATATCGTCACAGATGATTGTAAAATATTATAATGTATCATAAAACAGCAATCCATCTTAAGATTATTTTTAATGCTTATATAATAAATTCTAATTTCGTTCAGAAATCATCATTTTTTTTTTTTTTTTTTTTTCATAGAACATCATCTCGTGTACAATATTCTTCGCAACGACGATACAAATCATTTTGATCAGAAAAATAAAATACAATAAGTGATAAATTAATTCCCGCGCGGATAATATGCGCGGATATCGCGTATATTAATCTCTGTAGAAATACAAAGAATCGGAGCTAGAAAGTTGTTTTAACAATTTTTTCACAGCTTCGAAAAAAAAAAAAATTACAAGCATCACTACAAGTACGATTAGAAAATAAAATGATATATAAAGATCGATTTGCATTCTTATGATTACAATAATAAGACATAACGATTGCCCTAAGTAGCTACCACCATTAATAACCATGGATTATTAATCTTTGGTATAAAACGAGTTCGTTTCACGTCATTGGCACAAGAAATAAATCTTAAATTGTAATAATTAATCATCAGGAACTTCAGCTTATATAAAATTCGAAATTTTTTTTATATATACTTAATTTCATATAAATTTAAGATACGAGCTCAAAAATCAATAAGCATAGGTATATATATATAATATACTTAACAAACAAAACAATCACAAGATTCAGAACACTGATTGTAAAAGAAGAAAAAAAAAAAAAAAAAAAAAGACAAATTGTCGACACTTTTTTCCAAATACTGATTAATAGCAAAATCGTTCTAATATGGAGCACGTGTGATGTTCCATCCACGATACATTCTGAATATTAAAAAAATTGTTGATCAATTCGTTTATCTTAAATTTTGCCTACCGCTTATTCTTTCTTTCTCTCTCTTCCTTAAATCTCTATCTATCGAGATATAAATAAAAACCAACAAACTCGAGTTACTTCCACAAAATATTGTTTCCATCAATTCATCTTATCTATCTTGTTGCGCGTTGCGTAATAGCCATCAACCATGGAACCAATCCATAAGATTAAAATACAATTTCTCTAATCGAAATAAACTAAACTCGCTACCTATTTTCTATAATCGACGATAATCATAATTAAATCCCATAATAATAAATCACTTAAAGTCTTCGAAAATTTTCTCCAAATTGCGGTTTACTCTCCGCGTATATCGCATTCTTTGGATACAACGAGGAATTAATCGTATTGATCGGATTTTCAAACGAGAATCTTCCTTCGAACTTCGAAACGGGGCTAAAAAACGACTCGTTACTCTGTTGCTGTGAACTCTTAATCGCGTGATGATTGTTCATATATTTACAATCATTCAAAATTCTATTGGATATGTCCGGAATATTTCCGGGTTCGCGGCGATAAATCTCCATCGGCAATAACTCGGGCGAAAACCAATTGAAATTCTGATTGATCGTCATCTGGTTCACGTCTGTCGATGGAAATTGTTGCGAAAAGTGGCCCAAATTCGATTCCTGGCGCAACGAGAATTCTCGCCCACTTTGCAAATTGTATCCCGTGTTTTGATTAGGATATTGGACGAAAGTACCGTTGTTTTGCTCTCCCAAATTATTGATCCCAAAATTCTGATAATAATTAGTATACTGATAACAGTTTGAGAACCGATGATGATTAGATTCGTTGAAAGGCTGCGAATTGGAAAAATTATTGGACATGTGGTGAACATTATTCTCCGCTGGGTTTACGTGCTCGTTCTTATAAATATTTCTTTGATCGTAGCTAACGCAATTTTTATTGTCATTTTCGCTTGCGATCTTCAAAGTTTCGGAGAAATTTGTCACAAGACCGTCTGTCGGATTCCAAACAGATTGTAATTTATTCGTAGGTAATTTTGATACATTGAAACTGTTGTTCGCGTGAAATCGACACTGGCAAGAGCATTCTAACTTACACTTGTTGACCAGATCGCAAGGGGCATTTGTTAGATTTTTAGCAAAATTCTCGATACTGTGCAAAGCCTCGTTAGAATATCTTTGCACGTCGTTCCATTTGAAGTTCTTCAAGCGTTTACCTTTGTTCAAATACGTCAAATACGTGCTGATCGCGGGAAGAATGGCGTTCGATTGATCGTGTTGTACGCAATTCTTCTTAAAGTGTTCGTGTAAAAAAGATTGGTCTAAACTGTCTCTTAAATTTCCATTGATATCGCAAGTTTGATTAAAATTTTCTTTCGTTTTGTCCTTGCTCCTCGCGAATTCTATCAATGAACAATTGGAGCAAAGTATGCTTTTCGATTGGCATTTTTCGACCTTGCATTGATTTATCGGGTTGCCGAGATTTTTTACCGGGCTCGAGATTGCAGCTTTTATCGGCCGACCTTTTTGAATCGATGAACCGATTAATTTCTGCGATCGTTGATTGTTTATTATGTTCGATCGTTTGTCGATGGCCTTCTGTTTCGTTCGGGCAACAACTTTTTTCGTTTTAGCTGGTTCAATGAAGGTTTTCGTTATTTGTATGTTGCCTTCCTCGTCACACGTTCCACATTCTTCGAACTGTGGATTTTTAATAATCAATACATTTATTAAACGAGGAATCATAGTTTTGTAATTCGAATTTGACGAGAAGAAACAAATTGTAAAATTTGAAGCTATTATATTTATAGAGCATGATGATCTTTCGATAACCTTAAATGATTAAATATATTTTTGAGATTTCAATAATAAATGTGGCAATACGATGTTTAACGTAATTTTATAATAAAAAACAATTTTGTTCGCGTGGTATAACACATAGAAAATTAATGAGATATATAGAATGGTAACAGAAAATGAATTTGAAATTTACAGGAAAATTAACAATCTTAAATTATATTTTTTTATATTTAAATTTTCCTATCTTTTCAATTATCAATAAATACTAACACATTTATTTATTATTAAATTATAATTTAATTTCATTTAATTCAAATATGATTCCAGAAAAATCAATAATAAAAATAATTAGGAATAAATATAAATATTTTATCAATCTTAATATTCAATAATAATTAATAATATAATTATTATTTGTTTTGTTAATAGTAAATTTATTCCTAAGTATTATTTAAACAGATATCCTCTTTCAAAATTAATTCTACTCCATTTGTATTAAATTAACAATGCTCTTAATATAACTAAAATCTAGTAACTCCAAATTGCAGTACAATTAAAATCCGCCTAAATCCCTAAAGAATTCTTAAATAAACAATATTCTTTATCGTATGGAGCAATAAAATCAAAGCAAATGGAGCACATCTGCAGTCAACAATAGAAAAATAGTGAAACAATTGATTATAAATTTCCCATAAAGAAACGATAAATTAAATAAGCTTGTTACAAATAATTACGTTTAATAATTACGAACCATTTCTGCCTTGGCCAAATAAATCCATAGTTTTCGCCACGTGCTGAATTTATTTTGTTCGCTGAAATTATATCGCATTTCCTTGGAGGCGTACCTTGTTGCCAAGGGACTCCGATAGTCACTATATTCACTGTTCTCGATCGTGGACGAACTCATTTTTATCGTTTCTCAATTCACTTTCAATTAACGATACGATAATCGAAAAATATTTCGTATTATACGAGAACGAGGAAACGCGATCAGCTGATTTACTCGACACATTCAATACTGCGCATTCTCTTTAATAAACGCTGGCGCTCGCGATGCCTCTTGCGGTAGAAATACGAACTAATTCATTCAAAACTATCTTACTGTGTCAAGAAGTAATTTTCAATAATTTAAAGTTAATTCTCAATTTATTTTAAAAGAATTCTTCGTGTTATATCATTATTTGAAAATATGTCGAAGAAAATAATTGCGATGATCTTAAATAAACTTCAGAAAATATATAGAAATAAAATAATTAATCGTACAATTAGATTTAATTTTCTTTTATTTTTAATAGATATAGACCTAAAATATTATAAAATGTAACGTAATTCTAAAAAAATTTAAGCAGATTGAAGCTCGCTCCGTTACTATGGTTACTATTCAATAAATGAGAAACGATTGTCTTTTTTTTTCCTTGAAAGGGAGAGACGAAATCACAACGTGGATTCATCAAGATATAAACTACAGTAAAAGTGATTTAACATTTTTAATATACGTAATGTATCCGATTCCCGCAAATCGCAGTGCCATTTGTAGACACGAGTTAACAAGGGAAAGTACCCACGTTCTATATTCTCATGAGGCTATAATTGACCGATGTCATTGTTCTCTATACGCGAAAGGAAAATCGTATTGCCACTGATGACGATTTGTAAAACATTGACCTCTCTTCGTCAAATTCGTATCGTTATTTCTTTCTTTTTATATATATATAATAATATTTAATGTCAATAAGAAATAAATACGATGATATTTTTCTTTTAAATTAATTTGGAGTAAATTTTATCTATTTACTTTATTGATTCATTTATATTTTATTTTTATCGTGAGATACTTTCAAAATTACTTTTAAAATTAATTTAGAATAAATTTATTTCTTTATTTTATCGCGAAATAATTTTTCTTTTAAAATATGGATGTAATAATCGTTATACATACCACGTTATAAGGTGTCATATTCGCATTAGCCCATTCTATATTAACTTCACAATTTTTGAAAAGCGTCGCCGATTCAGGAACTAATCTTCTTCTCGCCATGGCGGCCCCTCGATGGGTTTTGTACGATACCAAAACGTAACAAACAAAACCGTTCAAATTCCTATAAACGGCTACTTTATCTACATCATCTGTCACTTCGTAAATTCTCTAGAGACAAAAAAAAAAGATACAAATTCTCTCTCACAAAATATATATAGAAAAGAAGTG